TCTTCTTCTTCTTCTTCTTCTTCTTCTTCTTCTTCTTCTTCTTCTTCTTCTCTCTCTCTTAGGTTGGAGGCTATTGCTGCTAGGGTGGAGGCCATCGCTAGTAGGTTGGAGGCCATTGCTTCTAGGTTGGAGGCCATCTCTATTAGGCTGTCCGTCTCTCTCTCTCTCTCTCTCACTCTGTTGTACTTCCTTGCAGTTTGCTGCACTTCGCATTTTCAACCTAGCGGCCCAGATCAGGTGGCCCTTCTTTTAGGAGAAAAGAACTGTTTTGCAAATATCTCTTGACTTTGACGAAGATGAGTAGGTAACAAGCAGAATACTCCTAAAAGCATTCTTGCATACGGAGTAGTAAGGACAGTAGGAAGGACTAGAGCCCTCCTTCTCCAAGGCCTAGTAGCATGGAGCCACGAAGTTTGTATCCTCAGATTTGCTCCACTTGGTGCAAGTAGGTTGGAGGCCGTCGATATTAGGTGGAGGTTATTGCTAGGAGGTTGGAGGCCATTGCTAGTAGTTTGGAGGCCATTGCTAGTAGTTTGGAGGCCATCGCTATCAGGCCGCCCTCAGGGGGAAGGAGCATGTAGGAAGTAGGAAGTAAAGCAGCTAGTAGCAGCTAGTAAGCAGTAAGAAGTACGTTGAGTAAACGGAAGACACTAGGGACTGGATGCAGAAGAGCTGATTTGGTTTCTGCAGTTCTCACTTAGTAACAAGAAGCTACTAGGAACAAGTGCCACGCTAGTAGTAACAAGTGCTTTACTAGTAGTAACAAATTAGAATTAAATTACAATTCTTCACTTACTGAAAATGTCTGTCTTGCCTGCGATCAGAAGGAGACCGCCGATGCCGAGGGGGCGAACGCCTGCATGTCCACTAGTAGCGTCCGATCGCTCCTAGTAGCGATGCCAGGAGCCCCTAGTAGCGAACCTTGTTACTACTAGTAAGGCACTTGTTACTAATAACGTCTTTGCTCCTAGTAGCGATGCCCTTCGTTACTAGTAGTTTCTGGTAGCATCCTTGTCACTAGTTTACTTTGCAAACCTCTTTTATCACAAGTTCCAAACCCCCCCCTCCAACCCTACCCCCCTACAACATAACCCTTAAATAAGGGTTATTTTCTGCGAAGATTCCTACTACAAGAAGACCTGGAACAATGGTCATTTGCTGAGAAGCTTGCTCCAAAAGGCGTCCTTGCCTGAAGCTTGGGAGCCTCTACTAGGATTGTTTCTCATACCCATGGTTCTCTTAGAAACGACTGGTGATCAGGGTGATTTGAGTGTCACTCTGAGCCCTTCTTGAAGTTGAGGGCACACCGCTCACAAAATTATCACCTATACATGAGCGCTTGGGAACTAGAGGAGAACTAGACTTGGGCCCTACTAAAGGATCAAGAATGCTGAACATCATTGGAACATCTCTGAAATAATAAGAGGACAACTTGTGTAATATCCTGTTTCGGGGAGCCCCCACCCATCTCCCGATGTGATGCTGATGCGGATGCTGCTGCTTTTTGCTGGTCACACATTTCGTGACCTGCTGTCGAGTCTGGCTTGCTGTCACATTCGTGACTGGCGCTCTCCACGTGGTCCTCTACAAGCTCTTGACATACCTGACAAGATCACCATGCGCAGGCCTCAGATGAAATGAGAACGAGAGGCTGACCTAAAAGGGAGGCACAAACTAAACAAGATGCTCAGATTTGGCAAAGGTAATTCAAAGGGAATTGGTGGTACCGAAACAATAGTGTCGCCCATTTTGGGTCATGCACACTCCCTTAAATAGTCATGGAAGTGGAAACCCGGCATTGTAGAGGAAAACAACTGGTCATCTAGGTCCAAGAGAGGTCATTTTCCACTTCCATGATCATTACACATCATCCAAAGAACGGGTCAAACTTCTTGGATGGGTTCTCATTGTTCCATCTCGTGTAGATGAAACTGATGCATGCTTCCAGCGCTTCTGACTCATCGGCACACTTCGTGGTGTTCCACTTGCGCTGAAAGTTCTTCTGCAAAGTAGGATCCTCACCTGCAAAGTACGAGAGGTTTCTCTTGCACTTGGCGCAAACGGTCTCCACCAAGTTGAGATTTAATCTCATAGTGAGGGATTCCATGTTAGGACAAGTGTGTGAGGCCTCAAAAGAAAACTTGATCTAGGAATGTGAAAATCTGCACTAGCTTACCCAATTGTAAACAAGAGACTCGGATAGAACGCCCTGTAGCCATAGCCCTTCTCATCCCGGTTCAAGCTGATTTTCTTGGCTCTCATCTCATCCTTCAAGAAGTCTTTCAAGGAAGGAGGAGTTTGGCTCGCTTTCCGGCTGGAATCAGCCTTTTCTTTAGAAGAGCCTCCAGCTGTCTTTGCCTCGGCTGCCGCTTCTGCCTCAGCGGCAGCTTTCTTTCTTCTTTCTTCCTCCAGTATTCTGACCCGCTCCATTTCCTGCTCTTTTGTTTCCTGAATTTTCTGGAACTCTTTCTCAACAGTCTTGCGAGTCTCAGCAGCGACTTTCTCTTCGCTGGTCTGTTGGAGTTTCTCCTTGGCAAGTTTGATGATACGAAGAAACTCGGGTGCATTACGGTTCTCTTCATCCAACTCAGAAACCCAAGCAAGGATCTCTTTCTCTTTGTCGCCCAGGTGTTCGAATTTGCCTCGCCATGTCAGCCCAGCAACCATGCGCTTTCTCTCTTCAGCCGTGACACTGTCTGAGTCTCCGAAAAAATGGTTGACTAATGCCTGTGCCAAATCCACTTTCAAACGTTGAGCTGGAAAGGGGATGCCAAGATGTCTCAAAATCTGCTTCAAGTTGTCAGCTGAGATCCAAGCGCCTTCTCTGACTGCTGATTTGATCAGTGACTCGCCAGGGCCTGCCACTTCCCAAGCGAAGCACTTGCCCTCCACAAACACCTCCGCAGGCACAAAAGCGCGCAACAGTTTCCTCACTGGAATATAGCGCCAATCTGCCTTGTCTTCCGAGAGCTGGCAGTTCACCATCCATTGAAGATCTGTCGCTAGCCAGCCACTCTCCCTCTTCTCCTCCTTCAGGAGCAAAAAGTCCTAGAGAAGCAGACTAACGGGAATGAAAAGTGAGGGAACAAATTGGGCAGTTACTTCAAAGAAATTCCTGAGGACATGTGGAGTCACCTCAACGAAAGCTACCTGATGTCAGGTGAACTGAGACCACCTACTTCAAAATATACTATGTATTTCAATATCAACCAAGTGGCCTTGCCAGCAATTGTTCTCTTCTCCAATGGAAATCCCACAGCAGCCCACGTTCTATGACCGAGGCTGAGATAGACTCTGTCTGATGGGCAGTGCAGGTATGCGCAGCCAGGGACAAACAGACTACCTGGTGACTTAGCCAAAAGCAAATGCAAAAAGCAAATCAAAAGATACCGTAGATATGAAAAGAGATTTGTCTGAATCTCAAAAAAAGAGGAAACTTCCAGCCCATAAAACCCAGACCAGACACCAACCCAACAAAGATCGATGTGGGACCAGCGGTTCATAGCGTCATGGAGCAAAAAGGCCGCAGCTGCTGATGCTCTCTGCTGCGCTTCAACGCCGGCCGGTCTGAATCCTGCTGCGTAGATCTTTTGTGGTTTCGGCACAGCGTGAGGAGCTGGAAACAAAGTTGCCTGTGGACTGAACATAGTGCGGTGAGCTTGTTGCCGGGCCAAAAGTCCTTGTGGCCCATGCAAAGTGGAAAAGTCTGACTTTGATGGCAGTATCTGTGGGTTTCCAGAGGATAATGGATAAGGGTTGATAATGGTGTAACAATACTTTGTCCAGTCCGAAAATTTGTTGGCAGAAGAATTCACCACCGATCTCCGTTTCAAGAACGCAAACGCGTTCTCCATCAGATCTTTCGTACTTGGGCTTCCTGCTGCCAATCTCTTTGCTACCTTTCTCAATTCATCTCTCTGTTCCTGCAACACCAATGCCATCACTTCACGCGCCAATGGCTGTCGGTTGTAGCCTAGATCGAAGAGAAGTCGTTTCAAATTGCCATTTTTGCGTCTGTCATATTCCATTTCAGCTGCATTCACTGCGGAGGCAAGTCTTCCCATATGGTTGAAGATCATATCTCTCCGCGCTGGGTCTTCTGACAGGAACCCCATTGCAACTGATGGAAAGTGGTAGAAATAGAAGATATTTGACCACAGCCAGTGTTCTGAAAGCTTCGTTGCAAAAAGCGCAGCTTTCTCTAACCGTTTCACCTCATCTGCAGCCCAATCCGGAAGGATTTCTGGTGGGACCTCTGAACGCAAGCAGTGACCCATGTCTAGATGGTCATGGATCTTCTCACTTTCCAGCGTTTGCAGAATTGAAGCCACAGTTGCAACCCAAGAATCACCCAGAGCCCGATTAGATGTCCAGCTCATTTGTTCCTGCCAGCCATGCGACAGTGCCTCCAAGGTTGAGTAGTAACTGTTCTCCAAAGGGTAGGACACATCCAAAATGATAAGAGCTGCATACCGAAGCTCCGGGTCGGACATAAAGCGTGAAATCATGACAGTGGGCCCTTTGTTGTTGAAAAGGCGGTACAAGTCTGACTTGGTGCGGGGTTCCTCTGCAGGTTCCTCTTCTGCCCAATCTTCTGGTTGTTCATGTTCGTCCTCATCCACCTAATTGAACTGCTTGACTCTTGCATTTTAAAAAGTCTAAGAATTTTGAAGAACATCAAAAGCATTGTCCCTTATTAATTGAGTTGGTTTCTGCACACAGGAAAGACTCAGGTGATGACGGCCAGTGCACTTGACTTGAAAAAACCTATCAGTAGATTTCGGAAGCAATGCGGCTGAGTTTCCATGCATTGCTCCAACGCCGCCAATGATTCCTTTTGCAAGGTCCAATCATAAACGAGGTCCCTCAATGCCGCTTGCAGCCCAAACCAAGACTTGTTCTTTACCTGGTTTGATGTGACCCTGTCCAAACAAAGACATACAACTGGTCTTCGTTGTCTGGGTGTTTGAAGTGAACCTTTGAAACCAGAAGACCGCAACCTTTCGAAAATAATTACCAATGAAAAACTCAAGTGGCTTTTCATTTCTGTTTGAAAAGGAAGCCACAACTTGTTACTTGCCAGTGCTGGAGGAAAACGTATTAATTTCGGCAGAGTGCATACAATCCTCTGCATCTCAACGCTTTGCTGGATAACCAGTCTGACATCAGCGAAGCAAGGTCCATTTCAGCATACTGCTCAACTGGTTCTTCTCTGTCCCTTGCAATCAACTCTGAGATAGTTGAGAAGTAGCTTGGGTCACGCTTCGCGCAGTCTGAGAGGAACACAGAGAACGCGTCCCGCTTGGCCTCGAGTTTGTCTCCTGATTTGTAAGCACCATGGTCGAAGTTACCTGGCCAAGCGCTGAGTTGTGAGTGAATCCGGTTGGGGTTCAACTCCCTATTGAATGGACATTCTGAAGAGCACATCCAAAAGGTCCCAAAGCCTGACTAAACAATGACTGAGCTGCATGCAAGTGTTAACTTCATTGAATCTATTGTCATGAACGAGTGGCTGATGGCCTTCTTGAAAGCGTTCCAGGAAGGATGGCTCGTTTCACTCTCTGCGAAACCTCTGAGACCCAGCCCCTCAACAGAATCAAAAAGGTACAGGAAAGCCTTCTGCTGTGTGGTCTCATCATCGGCCACAAATTTGAGGATTCTCATGCGCTCCACGGGGCCAACCTGTGCCTGCCTCAAATCTCCCCCAACAGCGAGGAGCCTCTCAGGTGGCACCTTGAAGTCTGACAGGTTTTTCCGGGTCAGGCTGACTAAGAAGTGGTTGATGGTGCGGAGTATCACCTGAGCACGCAGGAGAAATTGAAGTTCAAATGGTCTTAAACTGCCTTGACTCTGTTC